ATAGAGATTATTAGTTTTTTATTTTTTATTTTAGTTTTTAGAAATTACAAAATTTACAAAAATAAAAACTTAAAACTCAAAACTATAATTATTCTGAACGAAACCCTAAATGTTAACTCTAAGACTTAAGTCTTAAATTTACTATACAAATCAATACTTATTTACTTATAAATCAAACTCTTAGTATTGTATTTATCGATATAATATAGATATTATATAAAAAAAATTTATCTCAAAATTTTCATTCTAAAATTTAATCCAATAATCATTAGTCTTATTTTGAGCATTCTAGATGGTTGACATTTAGCATTGAAAAATTTAAGCATTAAGAAATGTGCATAAATTTGTCATATTATAAAGGATGCTATATTAAAGTCATGTTTACCATGGCGATTTTGAGGAAATAATTAGTAATTTTATTTAAATTATTAATAAAATATATTTGATAAATTTATATATTTTGAATTTGTTACAAATAAAATATTTAGCAAAAATTTTTATTAAGTAGTATAAAACTAGCATATAGTGGTTAAAATTTAAATAACTAGCGAATTGGAAAAACTATTTAAAATAATTTTTTATACCAAATTATTAGCGGATTAAATTTTTTTAATTTTATTGATAAATTTATTTTTTTTAATTTTTAATTTTTTGCCTCGGTTTTTAATTATTTTTTATTTAATTAGTTTTAATTTCATTTTTTTCTCTAATAACATTAAGTATTTTTTTACATTAATTTTTATCATAAAAACATAATAGGTTAATAAACAAAATTTACTAATTAGATGAAATGATTAAAAATTAGTTTTTTATTTAAAAATAATAAAATTTTTCTTTATTAAAATTAGAAAATAAAAACATAATAGGTTAATAAAAAAAATTTACTAATTAGATGAAATGATTAAAAATTAGTTTTTTATTTAAAAATAATAAAAATTTTCTTTATTAAAATTAGAAATGAGTATATGATTACACTATTATAATTTATTTTATTTATTTATTTATTATTATTATAAAATTAATAGTTTTAATAATAAAAAATAAAAAAGTTCTTAATTATTTTTAAACATGTTCTTATTAATCATTTAATATTAAATAATAATTACTAACATTATATAATCAAACAGTTATATCAATCAAAATCCACTATCTCACTTACTACTCACTATTCATTAAGTTTTAACTATAATACCAAACAAACCATAAGATAAAAAGTTTATGATTTTAGAGGTTACTTAGTATAATAGTTTGAAATTAGTAGTTTTGTCAAAATCACTAGATATAAATGTTTGGTAAATTTTTTTCCCACAAACATTACCTATTTGGGGTTTAATAAAAGTTTTCTAATGGTTTAATAGTAACAGTTAGTTGGCAAACCCAATCAACTAGCAAATTGAGAAAAACTCTTGAAAAGTAGCATTTTGTCTCAAACCATTAACAGATTGAATATTTTAATAATACTACTCACTAAGTAAGTTTATCATTATTCACAAATTGCTAATTTCTACGCTTTTTCATTAACATAATTCAATTTTAATGATTGTGGTATTTTATATTTTAACAT